GATAAATAATAAAATACTTACGCTAACTCCCGTGACAAGAATGTCGTTCCGACAATTCTCCGCCGTATCGTGTGTGCACCGATGACCGTCAACACACCAGTCACATGGAAAGCTCGATGATACGCATTGTGTACAGGAACTGTACGTGTTACAATCGAAGAAAGTGAAATTTGTCGCTACCAAATCGGGTCCATTTGTCATCCGAACCGACAGTTTGGCTGTGAAATGATGTCGGCCCGGCGGTATCGATGGCAATAAATCGGTTCTTGGTGTGGTACAGTTCACGCCATAGGACTTTCGCGAAGCATTCGTGATCAGAGTCTTGTCGAGGGCGGAAAATGCACACAGAAATTGCCCGGACAGCGTCGGCAGGTTCTCGATGACGAGCTCGAGAGTCCTGGCAGTAGTGCGTTGCAGTTGGTCTGGTGTGACAGTGGTGATCGTTGTGCATCTACCACTTTTGTAGGAGATCCAGTAGAGTGGATCCTTAGCCGCGTCTTGACAGTCGCTGCGCAGATTGCACTTGTTTTCTAACGAGCACCAGCCACAATATGGATCTTTGGCGCCCAGACAGTCCCAGCACGTCTTGTAAACTGAACACTCCTGCACCTTGACCTTTGAGACCTTCTTCTCTGTCAGCACATAAAGATGCATCAGTTGCGAATCAAATAGCAGATCCGGGTTCACTGGAGAACCAGGATCAATCTCAAGATCACCGTACTCCAATGCCAACGTCGAGCTCTCTACTACCACCTGCAACAGAAATATATAAATTTTTTTATACAAATTGATTAGCGCAGTTAATTTATTTTAATCAAATTATTGTAGGTAGAATAGTCCAGTTATAGAAAGAAGTAATTACATATTTTTTAATCAAATAAGAAACAGAATTTCCTATTTCGATAAAAAAAAATCTTGTTCATCAATAATATTCATTATCTATTAAATTGATGATCAATTGTAATATTTCTAATTTATGATTTGCATTTCAACAATATGAATTAGCGCAGTTTAGAAAACCATGAAAAATGTAAATCTATATGGAAAATATAATTTTGTTGAGTTATATAAGATAGAGATACAGATCTGAAAATGATTTTGTTGGATTATCACAATAATCATGTAGGATATTCGAGCTGATTGTTAGAATTGTTAAATGTCAAAACTTTTTGTAGCATTGCTCTTCATGCTTAAGTTTCGTACATAATTATTTTGATGATGATTTTCAACTTATTTTCAGATCTGTATTGAGTTAAATTTTTTAATATTTCAACAGAATCGTTTTTTCCCGGAAATATGAATATATTATATAAAATGACAAACATTAATATACAACATTAATATACGCTTCGACCGAAAATAGGATTCCTTTTTATTTGAGTTATTTGTCCTAATTTCCACTTGTAATATTTTTAATAATTCAAATTTTTATTTAATTGCATATAAAAAATAGATAAAATTAAATTTATGAATGTTTAATAAATTTTAAAAAATTTCAGAATGTTCATAAAATTTTGCAATATAAAATTGTACATTTCACTCAGCTTATTATAAAATTCCTTTAATTTTCCTGTTCATTCCAATGCAAATTTATTTAGTGAGGATAAAGTAATGCATTCTTATCACGTCAGAGACTATGTGACACAAAAACTTCATTAAAATATAATTATTTTTAATAATTTGAAGAAGACTGACACGTGTATCAAGTTTCATATAATTAGTTTCAGTCTGACTTGGTCGACAATTTTTCAATTGCTAGTTAAAAAATCGGGGATTTACAATATTGGCGAATTTGTGTAAAATTAGAGAGAGACAGTCATTGATGATTGCAGTTAACAGGCTTGTATAATTTACCGTGTATATATATATATATGCCAGAATGCTCTTGTATTAACGAAACGAGGATGATACGAACGGAATGAAGAATTAAATATTTACAACGAAATTATGAACAACTGTTAACCAGGCTAGCGTGGAGTAAATGTTCCTAAAGTTCCGTTTAAGTATTTATTGGGTATTAATTATCGATATTAGTTCGGTGATGACCTCTCATTGCATATTCCGTTTTCCCCATTTCCACGATAGTGAACATTCCCAAAAATATTGAAACGTCCCTTGCCGACGTATTACCGATTTTAATAATAATGGCATACAATAATCCGACTGCAACAGAGCGGTGAATTTTACTTTCGTATTATGGAAGTGACGTGGGTATCGTCACGTAAATTCATTCCCGTAAATTTCCCAAGTGAATATTCGTTGTATAGGTTTTTTAACTCCAATGCTGACTGGTGGTCATCGGACATCAGATATAAGATTGCAGCCACTGAAAATAACAGTGTAGATACAATTTGCACGGTATTATTTTAACGTGAGACTCTCAACGCGTCACATTTTTTTCATGAGCGAGCACAGTACAATCATCTCTGCCAGGTGCACTCGCGTAGCATTCATTTTCTTAGACCTCACCGCGAATCTCATTCGCGGTCGCGGTTAAAGGATCGTAAATTAAATCGTAGTTCGCGACGTCTCCCGCTTTCAATTGACAGCGAAATTGATGACGAATAGAAATCCCGGAGGGCTAGAATCGTTCGCGGACCTAATAAAAAGATTATTCTTTCGAATAGTAATAACAGTAATCACATCGAAGTAGGACGTGGATCGCTTTAGCAGCGACATTTAACTTCGATGTAGTAAATTTACTGAGAAATGGTATTCACTGCTCATCTGGTAATTATTACTAACAGCATAAAGATTCTATACAAAGACCACGATAATACGATAGTCGCATCATTAGCTCCGCAAATTCTTAATAAATTAATTAATAAAATTTTTTCTTCAGCTTTTAAATATGTAATTTTTTTTATTTCATTAATTAATTTTGTAAATCTCTTCAATTTCATAAATTTTGAAGAACATTTGTCATTCTCTTTTAGGAAGTGTAATTCGGAAATATTAAACTTTTCAATATCATTACACTAATATTGGCACAATTTAAACCGTAGCTTATTAATGTAATGTAATATGGAAAAAGACGTACACATTAACATACTGGAAACGAGCTATTCTACCGAAGCAGAAATGGAATAGTTAAGCATTCGTGTGTAATTTACAACAAATTGAATTGAGAGAGTGAAGCGAAGTTCGTGGTAAACGCACAGAGCGCAGTCACTATTCCGATTTAATTAACAAATATTAATTAAGTCGCGTCGCGCAGCGCGAATCGAGCCAACAGGCAATTTGCCGCAATTTGGTAAACATCTGTTTGTCTATTCCACAATGCTCATTAGAACAATAATTAATGCCTTTTAATATAGGTAGAGGAATGGATTATTACTTATATCATTGACAATTCCTCATAGTCATGAATATAAACGCAGGAATTAGATTAATAAATAAGACAGAGATTGTAAATTAAATCGGCTAAATGAATAAGACAGAGATTTTTAAATTCTTAATAAATCCGTAATAAAAAATCAATTAATACTTTATGTAAATTATAATATTTTTCGAAAGCTCTGCCAGTTCTACGGTAATCTAATTATTTAACCTTGTACCTCAATATTTTATGTCTCGAGTAATCTTCGTGTCTTCCGGAAGAACTTACATTATTAAGTTGATTCAACCTTGCGAGATGTCAAGAAATATTGTGGCACAGTGAAGTTTGGAATCTTAAGTGAAGGCTAAGGGCTGTCGGTACTGATCAGCATTCGACCTCTGGCCGACTAATGAGTCGTTATTTAAGACAGGCAATCACGGCGCGGTAACTATGTTACAATCTTTGTGTCTAAGCGGGCTGGAGAGAAGCGGGAGAGATAATAATAATAATTATTATCAGGCTACCGAGTGTTAGTAGTGGTTGTTAATTCTAAGGTTCACTCGCGGTATCCGCGGCTGGTCTTTTTAGCATGATTTCGTTTGCGTTGGTATACGCGAGTGCGATGTTCGCGCATCATTCGGCCTCGGCAAATCCTCAGCCAAAGTCGACGCACAAAGAGGCTTTAATAAACGCGCGGGGATAAAGGCAAGGTCGACGAGGTCGAGGATGAGCCGGTAGGAGGGTTAAGAACGAAGGGAGGAGACGGAGAAGTAGATAGAAATTATTTCTTAATGGAAGAAGAAGCATCGTAGCAGACGCAAACGCAAAGAGGGTATCTGGTAATGATGAAGAAGGAGACAAGGCGTAGACAAGACGTTTGCAAGAAAGTTGCGTGCAGACGATCGCAAACACAATAGATGCAAAAAAATGACAATAAAATAAATTTTGGAGATAAAAGGAAGAGTAAAAAATAATTGATGAATAAACGTAAGAAAATTTGATAAAAATATATGTTAAGTGCAATAAATAACAAATGGAATTCGATATATTAAAATTTTACATTTTCAGAAATTCTATAGGTACAATTTAAGTCATGAAAAAGACAATGTTCAATATTTATTCCAATTCATAAAACATGCTGCTATATTAATCGAAAACAATAGTTAAATCTTTATCTTTTTTTGTGCACGAGATATTAATAGAGAATAATAAATATTATTAATTAAAGTATTACTTAATTAGAGTTTTACTTCACATCGAAATAATAACTGTTAAGTTCTTGTCAGAATCTTGTTATTTTGTTGTCCTTTAACTATGTATTTCATGTATTACGTCAATTAAAGCAAAATTGGGGAACTATTTAAAGACAAAGCAAATACAAAGATGTAAAAGAAAAACGGTCTACAAGGAGCAAATAAAGAGTGAAAAAACAAGAAAGGAATTAAATGCAAAACGGAAAATAAGATATCCATCTTTTGCGTCTCGACACTCAATCGATGATGTTTTAACGTGAGGAAAATAATAATCACGACGCTACCGAGAGGTAGGCGGACGTTTTAATTAACGAGCTGGTTGCATTACTCTTTTTTTGGCAGATGCGATTGCATCTATCCTTGCGTTTGTATTGCGTGGGCAATGCTAATCAGTACGTTGGATTGACCGATAAAAAGCGAATTGAACGTCGACATTCCTGAATCGATTTCAAGTTGTGCATGTTCGTGCATCCCACGTAAGGTGCTCGCATATTAATGCCACGGTGAAATCCACGCCTTAAGTTCGTTGCATATTAAACGAGACCGAACGCGATTAACGAGATATGTCTTTGTCTCTATGGCGCGTACAGGAAGCGCCGGATTGTCAGCCGAGCGGTGTAATCAATCGTTAATTACTGATAACGTACATGTTACAGATATCGTGAGCTTTATGAACGACGAATTATATTTATTGGAAAGTTCCTTATATAATTATATAAACGAGAGCGTGAGAATGATTGTTGTCTGCAGGCGCATTATAATAGCTTCCCTAGTTTCATTAAAAATAATTAAACACTAAAATTGTTCATATTTTACATTGTTCACACAATGATAAATCATAAAAAGAAGTCAAAAAAAATTAACATAAAGTTAGAAAATTAGAAAATATAAAGATTTTTGATAATTTTGCATAGAGATAATTTTGGATAATAAATATAGAAAGAACAAGTATTAAAAAAAAAGAATTGCTATTAAATTGCTTTTAATTATTTATCTTTACTCATCTCTTTCTTAATAAAGTTTCCTGTTTTGAATTCGAAAATATCTAGTCTTATTACTCAAAGACTGCCGCGAATGATCGAAGTTTCCGATAGAAAATTCCTGTACCGTAGAGACATTAGGTGACGATATGAAAGGGATTTAAGAGCGATGATCACAACAAGGACTTGACTCGAGGCACG